TACTGCTGAACTGGGTCAAAACTAAAAACAACAACAAAGGAAACACTCTCCACAACTGTGTTATGGCAACTAAAAATATGTTGTGCAGGTGAGCCCACTAAGACGTATGTGCTTCTCTTATGGATTCGTATGTTTACTTTAGCATGAGTGACAGGAGACATAAACCAAGCCCCAAAAGATGGCACGACTTGTGCAAATCGTGGGGAGAGGGAAAAAATCCAGCCAACATATACGATGATGTCATGTGAATGAGACCATAGATAAATCTCAGCTAGCTGAGTTCCAGGTGCTCCCTAACAAAACATATAAAACGGTGTAATCCTTATCGTCCGGGTGGCTATCAATGCAAGCATGATAGTACCAGGTCACTGGGTCAAAACCCCCACCTGCCCTGCAATTTTCCAGTTTTTCTGTTCACTGCCTGGTTAGACCCACCGGCCAGGGTCTGTCAAGGGCTTTTCTGCGTAATTAAATAAATCATGAGGGGTTTTTCTACACAAAAATCAGCACGCACACGGCACCCAGCCTGCCACCGATAGTGGGCCACAGCCACACTTGCACGCCATATGGGCAAGGCATATGCCTCGATATGGGAAGATGCCTTCTATTTGCACGGCCGAACAAATTAGAGCAGTGGTTTTGTGTATTTCTCAACTTCAAAAATCAAAGTAACCGTGCAAGATAATTTAAGTCACCTGAGGTGTATTTTACTTGCCTGAAAATGCAGGGAAATAGTTTTGAATGAAAATGCTGAAAAAATCCAGAGGTGGACGGAGAAAATTGCCTTCTTTTATTTTAAGAACTGCAGATGTAATTCACACGACAAAGAATTGCAACCACATGTACATGCACGCGTCAAACCGATCATTAGAGTCTAGCATACATCTCCACGTACGACCAAAATTCAAATTGCAGATCATACACATACATATGCATCTTTTTTGTATAAGCCACATACATACGCATCTGTGTATGTATATGTAGGGTACTACGTATGACTGTCATAGACACCACGGCCCTGGTGCGGGGGGCATGGCAGAGAAGTTTTGGGGGGTGGGCAGACGCCGTGGAGCGCGGAGGCACACGTTGCCTCGCCGACGCAGGTGAGCTGCGCGCAACAGTATTCGGTGATGATGTTCTTGTTGCCGGTGAAGAGCGCCTGGATGAATTGCCCCGAGCACCACTTCGGCACACTCGCCACAGTCTTGTAGCAGTCGTCGCGGGCCAAGGCCATGGACGTCTGCGGTGGCGTGCTTGGGCGGCCGGCAAAAGCGACCGCCAGGAGAAGGGACACCAACAGGACGCAGACGCAGAGTTGCCGGAGCGCCATTGCAGGTGGTACGACCGTGGTGCTGTAGCGTGGTGTAGGTATAGTGGGATCGATCGAGATGGTGTTTGGCTTCAGTATATAATATGGGGTGAATATAATGAATGTATTGGTTGGTGGCTTATTTTCTTAGCTCATTTTTATTAGTTGCCTAATCTGTGGCGTGATAATAATTGAGCACTGTCTAGTTATCTTGTGTTTTTCGGTGAAGCCTTAAATTATCAAATCTTGTTTTCGAAGTCTAATGATAGCACCATGATCTATTTTTATTCGGCTCAATCTTTTTGTTTTGTTTTTGGATGAAGTCTTAAATTAGTGAATCTTGATTCAAGTCTAATGATCTCATCATGATCTATTTTTATTCGGCTCAATCTTTTGCGCCTACTTTAATAGCAATTAATTAAAAGAATAAGGAAAAATTACTGCATTTTGCAACCGATTATTTTTCCCTTTTAATGCATTTCTGTTTTATTTCTTATTTATCTTTTCTTATTATCACGGCCCTGGTGCTGTACCACAGTGTAAGTATAGTGGGATCGATTGATATGGCATTTGGCATCAGTATATATAGGGGGTGTCTTCGCAAAAAAAAGTATATATAGGGGGTGAATATAATGAATGTATTGGTTTATGGCTTATTTTGTTAGCACATTTTTATTAGTTGCTTAATTGTGCTATGATAATAAGCATTGTCTTATTATCTTGTATTTCTGGATGAAATACTTGATTACTACCATCGAATCTTAATTTTTGAAAACCAATGATCATATCTTGACAGAACTAATTACCTAAAATCCCGCCTTTTCATTCCTCTCTCCCAAGGCTACCAGGGAAAGTCTTCCTCCCCTTGATGTTCCAACGAGCCCATGGATTCGCCTCACCTCCATGTGCGCTCTGACGGTCAATGCTAGGGAGGGGATTCTTGGTGCCTCGGCTGTGGCTAGTAGAAAAGTAGGGTTTTAGTCCTAGCAGGGGCGACACTCAGACGAATGGCGGTGTTTCTTCTTCGAGTCAGTCTTCTAGGCTCTCATCCTCCAACGTAGATTATTGCCAGCTCCTCAGGGTAGCGAGGTTAAGGTTTCTCACCAATCACCATGCGTGCACGACGGTGAGATTTGGTGGCACGTTCTTCAGATCAATTCAAAGATTCAATGACACCGGCTTTAGTATGGGAGCGGCGACAGGGACCTGTAATATTTATTGCGTCTGAGGTGCTTTGTACTTTTTTTACGTTTGATGTGCTTTGTACTTCTCTGAATCTTTATAATAGATCTAATCATTTAAAAAAATGATCATATCGTGATCTATTTTTATTCTGCTCAATCTTTTTTCTTTTTAAAATAGATTGAGGCGCGCTTGATTGCAATCAATTAAAAGAATACAAGAAATGTATTTTATTTTGAACATGATTTTTCTCTTTTTCTTGTGTTTCTTTTTTTTACTTATATCTTCTTTATCTTTAGTTATATATATAGTTGATAGTATCTGCTAACTCGAACATGAATTTGGTATCCTAATTTCTCTATAGGTTTGTTTTAGTGTCACAAAATTCGAGAAAGTGCATATCACCCAATTACCACTAGTGATATCAAACGCCTGATACCACCTTCACCTTATGGTACTTGCCCTAATTTTATTTTGCTATAGTCTTTGCTTCTAGTTTTCTCTTGTTTTTTTTACTTTAGTTTATCATATCCTTGTTACAGTTGTCCTGATGAAGCCAATAATTAGTTGCCCTGATACGCAACCAGTTTGCAACTAGTCCATGTTGGCTCACTAGTTGTAGTAAAGTGAAATGCTCAACATTTTGATCCTTTACTTCGATGTATACTGGCACAATACTTCCATCCAAAAGGTATTGTGGTGATCTGTGCGCTTGTGGCCCTCACCGGATGGGTTGAGTAGGATAGGGATTGGGGTGGCTTTTAGCTCATTAAAATCAAGGGAGAGCTATTTAGCGGTGGCATCGTGCATCTCAGAGGGGGAGACGAGTCGTCAGGTGACCTTCTCGTCGGAAGGTGATGTTCTCCAAGCACTAAGGCCACTACTACCGGTGCAGTTATGTGGAAGGAGGCATGTCCCGTGAATAGAGTTTAGATGAGGTTGGCGACTGTGTATTTGCGAGGGAAAGGGGTTATAGCTTGTGTTGCCGGCATGAGGGAGAGTGAAAAATGAAGGGAATCACAAAGAGATAGAGAGAGATGGATGAGATGTCACTTCTTCATTGGTTTACCGTAAGGAGGAACTAGAGCCCCTATTCCTTTTTTTGTTTTTTTAAAGGAGGATGACCCCCGGTCTCTGCATTTGGGAGTAGAGCCCCTATTCCTAGGAGCTTTGACCTTTAAGGATAATGTGATATCTGATTTCCAGTGTTAGAATTGAGATCACCCATCTATACTCCCTCTGCTCTTTTTATACTTCACATATATGTTTTGTCTTAAGTCAAACTTCGTAAAGTTTGCTGAAGATTATAGAAAAATATCAATATTTACAATATCAATTCAATGTTATTAGATGCATCATGGAATTTAATTTCTTATTCTATATATTTTGTATTGCTGATGTTGATATATTTTAATATAAACTTGATCAAACTTTATGAACTTTGACTTAAGTTAAATTTATATGCAGAGTAAATAGAAATGGTGGGGGTACGGTCAACACGTTTGCCTGATGGTTCACTTCTGGAACTCAAATCATGAGATGCCTAATTGTGTGCTGATTACGAGCGTTGCCAGTGTTTTAAACCAAGTACTTCATCATAAGTTACAGTATTTCCTCTGGCTAATTTTAGTCCCTTAAAATTTTAGAAGGCCCATCATTTTTCCATTTTCCTGCCTTCGGAACTGAATAACTTTTCAAGAGGCAAACTAGGAGGGAAAATAAGAAACTGAGATACTTCAAATCGGCCACTCTGGGAACTCTAGTTGATCTCCATAATCGATGAAGTCTTTAAGCTGCAAAAGGCAGCAGAAAGTAGTGCCTCTTACCCAAAACCCAAAACCATCGCAGAGCGGGTGACATGAGGACACAGACGGAGGGAAGAGGCCCATTTTTCGGTGGATGGTCCTGTATCACTGAGAGCTAATTTTTGGAATGAATTATATTGCACCATCTTTGATGACCAACATTATTATTAGGAGTTAATTTTGGGACCTGTTTTTTTCTTTTTGAACCAAATTTTTTTGGGACCTGGTTTTGGAAGCAGAATTTCAGGAATCGGTTAAAAATGCCCTTAATCAGAGGAAGGAGCACTGTGTCAACTAGTCAATATTCATTATTTTTGGCCTCCTAATTGTATGCCCACGACCACATGTTTAAGATTTGCTAACAAATCATGATTCAGCCCAAACAGAATTTTGGAGTTGGAAAAACTACTTTCAAACATCAGGCACCATATCAAGAGCATCCCCTAATTTTAGAGACTGAATGTAATTCATTGAACACAAAATTACGGGTTGGCTATGTGAATCACCAGCTATCCAGCTTTCCAAAAAACTTTTTTTTTTTTTTTTTGCTTTGAGACCGATTATCAAGTCCATCAAAGATCTCCCACGTACTACTAAAAGTCGAATTGCATATCACACACAGACACATCAACACATGCATGCATGCATGCATGTAACTATGTATGCAGAGTAATAGGATAGGGTACGTAGGCTACGTGTGTTAATTAGCCGTGCCTGTCGTAGACATGGTCAACCTGGTGCGGCGGGCATGGCAGATTCTTCTCCGGGTATGGGCAGACGCCACGGAGCGCGGAGGCGCACGTGGACTCGCCGACGCAGGCGAGCTGCCCGCAGCAGTAGTCGGTGATGATGTGCTTGTCGCCGGAGAAGAGCGCCCGGATCAACTGCCCAGCACATGATCTTGGCACACCGGTCACCGTCTTGTAGCAGTCGCCGCGGGCCAAAACAGTGGCTTCTTGCGGTCGGGGGCTTCGTCCGCCAGCGAAGGCGACGGCCAGGAGGAGGCACATGCATAGGCCGCACAGGCACAGTCGCCGGAGAGGCATTGCCGGTCAGGACAGGGTGCTTGGCACGACGCTATTGTTTTGTTTATGGATCTGTGTAGACTTGATATGTATGTAGTGGTCAAGATGACGTTTGGCGTCGGTATATATAGAAGAGAAGAATGTAATCGACGCACTGATTGATAGCCTAGTATTTTTGGAACTCCAGTAATGAGATGCTTAATTTACGTCCTGGTTATAAGCATTTGCCTAATTATATTCTGTTTTATTTTTAGGTAAATACACCGGTAGTAACAAAACTTGCACGCGACCGTCAGTTTAGTGCACAACTTGCAAAATACATCTCTCTCACTCCTAAGGGAGGAGTTTGTATGTATTTAGTTCATCCCCCACCACCACAATCGATCGAAGGAGCACCCCCACCGATTTTTTCCTAGCGTAACCCCACCTTCCGTACCGATTTTTTTCAAACGTACTGGTTTCCTTCCGGTTCTTCTATCTCACCTACCCAAATCTCCCGATCATTAATATACAAATCCACTCCGTCTCACTACTTTTCCTTGCAAAAGTCATAGAAAAATCAAAACTTTCCTCACATATACAAGGAAAAAGTCTAAAATAAACCTTTAGTTCGTACTCGTAGTCTGAAATGGACCTTGAACTTAAAATCCCTGAAATTAGCATACTATACTCTTTAATCCTGGTCTATCCTGGATGATTTTCGCTAGCTGATTGTTTGACGCAGCGAGAAAAGACGATTCCGACCATGATCACATACTTTGGCGAGCCCTTCTTATACATCTTTCTATCTGTGTGTATGCTACGTCTCCCATTACGTCTCCCTAATGGATGCGCGTCGTCGTCCCGTCGCTATATTACACGCATGAACAAGCTTGTGCTGTTGTGTGGCGTGTGCCGTGTGCTACTTGCTGCTGCACGCATTTCAGAGAGAGACACAGAAAAAGAGGAGGAGGATTATGACGCATGGGCCCTTGTAATCTGTAAGAGTAGCGTGTGATCCTGGTACCGGGAGATGAGCAGCAGCCGCACGACGGCACGAGGATGTTAGCGAGCGCACGGGCTGCCGCTGACGGCCCACAGTGGGAGGCCGGTCGTGGCCGTGCTCTGTTGGGTGGCACAAGCGAGCTTGAAGCGGTCACGTGATGTCCCCGGCGTGCGACCTCGGAGCAGACGTGGGCGAGACGATGCACAACTGTCCGGAAGGTGGGCATCAATCACACGAGTGTTGGCTTTTGATGCCTAGATCAAATCACCCAGGAGCTATGCACGCGAAGTGCAAAGCTAGCTAGACGAGCTTGATTGATTCTCGAGCAACACGCACGTAAACATAGACGTATACATTGAACTTGACCTAGCCAGCGGCCTCGGTGGAACGTCTCGACGTAACTTTAGCAAACGGAAAAATTGATCGGGACGAGACTGATTTGGTGATAGCTAGAGGGGCGTGTCGCTCCTGTCTTTCTTCTTTGTATTGCTTTGCTTTTCGTTGTGGTTGATTACAAGGGGCTGCTACATGTATATATAGCAGGCTAGACTAGCTCGTTACACGACCGACACGGCTAGGAATCATATCCTACTTGGACTACTAATCCCAATCGGACACAAGGTGTGCTTATGTCTAACAACGAGGAGGTCGATGGGCGCGCCGGCCCACGCGGATGGGGGCGCGGAAGGTCGCTGGTGGCCGTGACCAGCTGCGTGGCGGTGGTGCCAGAGAGTTTGGGGGCGTCCTCTTCCAGCCCCCAGCGAGTTCTAAGCAGATGCAGGGCCTGGATCGACAACGACGGGCCGATGGCGAACAGGGTCGAAGAGGAGGAGAAGGGACCGGCGACCTGGAGTTGGCGGGGACGGGGACGAGGCCCCTCCCTGTACATCGAGGCGATGGGTGTGTCTCCGATGGGGAGGGGATGCGGCGACGAGGTGGATCTACACAGAAGATGTATAGGTCTAAGAAGATGAATATGACATGTGGGCCCCACTAGTCCGTGTGATTAGTGTGTGAATCCGGCCGGGATCGTCCTTTTCCCGGTGCGCCAAACAGTTATTTAGCAAAATCAGCCGGGACAGACCCGGATTATAGAATATAGGGTGCTAGTTTCAGGAATTTAAAAGTCAAGGTCCAATTCAGACTATGAGTACGAGTTTAAGGTTTATTTTAGACTTTTTCCTATATACAAATACAACACAAATCATATATCCAGAATCGGGACTTTCCTTCGCATCTCCCACCGCCCATCTGGCTAAACAATTCTGATTTGTTTCCATGTGTAGCGAATCAAACTTTCCTAACGCTAAACCTAACCCCTCCTCGTTTCCTTTCTGGTTGAACCCTAGCCGTAATGCTCCATCTCTATTGCCGAGCCGAGCATAGTAACTATGGTGGTGAGGAGGTGGCAGTCCTGGCGGGAGCTCGTGTACGGCGCGCAACGCGCTACGAAAGAAGCGAGCGCGCACCCCATGCTCCCCCCTTCGCGCACTTCTGGGCCGGCCCATGTGGGTGCCGGGACGCTGCCAGTTTCTTTTCTTCTTCTTTTTTGTTTTTCCTTTTTTCAATAATTCGGGATATCAAAAAAGCTGCTAATTTAATATAACTATCATGATCTAAAAATATATTTCATGATTACAGATAATGCTCTAGAATTCAAAAACTGTTCACGAATTTATTTTGGTCAGTATGTTGTTTATTTTCTGAAATTGATACTCCATTGTAGATTACCTATGATGAAAATTACATTCTCTGCGGGCGCTGATTCTGATATATTACTATGGGCAAAGGAAGTTCAAAATTTATCTCAATCAAACATGTGCAAAGGAAAATCCAAAATATGTTATGTCAGTAAAAGATTCTTAAACCAGTGTGTTGCCACGGGCTAACAAATCCAAAATATGTTATGTCAGTAAAAGATTCTCATTTGAATGATGTTTTCTGTGTCCTTGGATCACCAGGACGACGCCGTCGCCTCGGATCCCCACACGCCGCCAGCATGGCCGTGACAACTGATGAGCACGCTCCACCCCCGTTCCTGCCACAGGTCTTCATAGTCGAGGCTGCCTCCTCATTCCTTTCTCTAATCTTTCATTCAACTACTCGAAGTAAACAAACCATTTCTTCTCTTCTGTATGTAGATGAAGAAAAGTAGGCTCAATCAGGCCATGACCAGAGTTGAAGAAGGCTCAGGCAGATGGTGATACTATCAAACCAGGTACGAGCATGATCCCTTTTCACCCCTACAGCTCTTGCATGCCTTCAAAGCATCTGATCTTGGTCGTTGCAACCCTCCTTGTCCTTGATGCGGACAAAATTGATAGGGTTGTCCTGATTCCTTATGTCTTATTTTTCATGTTCTACTTTGCCTTCATGTGTGCTTCAAGCAGATGGACTTTGAGATCCCGCTCAAAATTTGGGCTAAAATGTGGTTATATTATTAAAACTTCAATCAATTGTAAGACTGAGAAATATGTAGTTGGTCAAGCAGCCTCAGCTTATAGTTGAGAGTGCCCAGGGCTGATTGACAACTATGTAGGTCAGTTTAACCTCGGTTATGGGTGCTCGCACATAAACTTTGCCCTGGGAAGACACCATAGCATGTACAAGGATTATGCTTGTTATTTTCTGTACTGAAGACAGTATTCATGGTAGCATGCATTTTCACTTTTTTTTGTAGGAGACCCCAACCCGGTAACCAAGACATGGAAAAGTGGAGTGCGGCCGTAAAAAATGCTTATCAAATTGCTGGCTCCATGTTGCCTATCCACTATCATCATACTTGTCTGCATCAAAACGTCTCCGTTGATGTTGAATATGAAACAGTTGCCACTGTCCCACCAGCAGCACCGAAGACGAGCCCAGCAGCAACATGATGGAGACCAGCAGTACTTCTTGATCCGGTATCTGAATTATTGGTCGTCAGTGTTTCCGTGGAAAGCGTGTAGAGGTAGATGGTTCTGCCGATAACCGGCACACAGAGGTAGGTGTAGGTCTGGACGCTGGTGCTGTTGGAGGCGCGCCGGTCGAGCTCAACCATCACTCAGCCGGGCAGTACTTTGAGCTGTCACAGAAATATCATGATAATCTTTTAGCGAATACAAAGGTGTTTATAACTTCATAAGCAAAGACATGTAGTGTTGCTTGTATATTGAGAGATACTACAGGAATTGACACACTCATAGCTTTTTTCACATGTAACAGGCTAGGCGGGGCGGTCGATTTGCAGCGGGGTGACGTGAGGGATATCTCGTTTGGAAGAGCAGGTGGAGTACAAGGTCGTGTCGAGGTACAATGACCGAAATATCGGCTCCATAGAGGACGCCATCACAGGTGCGTCGATCTCAATCTTCTCCTCCATTGACATTGTCTTCGTTACCCGTGTGTGTAGCAGGTGTGCTCTCACACTCAAGAATTTTCAGTACGTGATGGGTTCTTTCTAATTCAGATCTTGCTTTCCTTATGGTGACATCTTCTTTGCCATGGTAAGCACATCATGGTTCGTTCACCCTCATGACTTTTTATTATGACATTAATGGAGTTCAGAAAGCAGTTTTAGTGAAGATCGAATGATTTTTAGATTAAGTAGATAATACAAGAGTACTCTTCTGTAGTGTATTGTTGTTCAACTGAGACATATGCAGTGGGTTTGATGGCCGCAGGATAATTAAAGCCAAGGTAAAGACTATACATTCACAATTCCTATTGTTATAAACAGGAAAAAAAAGATATAGGCGAATACTACTGTTTTAGATGCCAGTAAAATGGACTAGAATTTCATGAGCTGTTTAGTCAGCATGCTACCGCTCATCAGAGGCGGAGGACCAAATTTTTTCGAGGTAGGTCAGCCGAGACTACAGCACGTGAGACTTCCTCACTGCTAGCCTCTAGCGCCAGCGCGTGCATCTTCACGGTCCACCTTGGCCTCCGGCACAAACGCTCCTGCTGCTTGCTGCTAGGCGCTAGCCCGCTGGGGTTCGCGCCTAGCATGCGCCAGGGCTGGTGGTTTGTGTTCTGCTGTTCCTGTTCATACCTT